AAATCATCAACCTGTGAAGGGGAATAAACTAAGCTTTTGCACTCTGCAGCACTGCTCAGTGACAAAGAGGAGAGAGAAAGTGAGACAGATTCTTTAAAATGTATAACTGCACTTTCTAATAATGATTTGCTAATGTGAAACCTTCTTTGGGGGGAGGAGAACTCTGTTAAAGTAATCCTGAAGGTTATTAGAAAGTGGTCAGAGAGGACAGGGTTGTGAGGAAATACTGTTGTTTCTTCACATTCTATGTCAGAGGTCAGCACAAGATTCAAAGTATGAAGATGAGAATGTGTGGGTGTATTCACATTTTAAACAAAGCCAATAGCATAGATAGCTTTAAAGGCTGTGCTTTATTAAAGGCTTCATTAAAGGCTTGCACTTAAGCTATCCCCTACAATGTCAGCAAGGATGTTAAAATCTCCCACTATGATGACTCTGTCAGTATTTGATACCAAATCAGAAAGGAACTCTGAAAACTCATCTAAAAATTCAGAGTAAGGACCTGGTGGACGATACAAAGTTACAAAAAGAAGAGGTTTTCTTGCTTTGCAATTTGGATCAGGGAAATTAAGGGTTAAATGTTCAAAAGAGTTGTAGGAATTAATTGTTTTGGGAGTAATCAGTAAGTCAGACTGGAAGATTGTTGCTACTCCTCCTCCTCGCCCAGAACTTCTGGGTATGTGAAAATTTAAATAGCTTGAAGGAGTTGCCTCATTTATGCTCACATAATCCTCTTGCTGCAGCCAGGTTTCTGTAAGGCAAAACAAGTCAATGTGATTATCACAAATCAAGTCATTAACTAGCAGACTTTTAGAGGAAAGCAATCTTATGTTAAACAGACCGCATTTAATTGTTTTAACTTTTTCCCCAATTGGAGTTATTTTAATTTTAATTAGATTATCATGATTTACTCCTTTGGGAATCTTTGCTAATTTATTAGATTTTGGTCGTGGGCAAGACACTGTCTGGATGGAGTAAAGAGTGGGTGACAGTAGAGAAGCTGCAGAGATGTGTGTTAAACTACAACTCTGCTTCCTGGTCTGCACCCTGGGGGGTCAGGGTTTTGGAGGACTAATAAATGTGGCCAGATTCCTAGAAAGAAGAGCTGCACCATCCAAAGTGGGATGGATGCCGTCCTTCCGAATCAGACCAGGCTTTCCCCAAAAGGATTGCCAATTATTAATGTAGCCCACGTTGTTTTCAGGGCACCACCTAGACAACCAGCGGTTGAATGACGACATGCGGCTAAACATGTCATCGCTGGTCAGATCAGGGAGGGGACCAGAGAAAATTACAGAGATTGTTTTGGCAAACTTACACACCGAAGCAACACTAATTTTAGTGACCTCCGATCGGCGTAACCGGGTGTCATTACCACCAGCGTGAATAACAATCTTACTGTATTTAACCTTATCCTTAGCCAGTAGTTTCAGGTAGGATTTGATGTCGCCCGTTCTGGCCCCCGGCAAACATTTGACTATGGTCCCTGGTGTCTCTAATGCCACGTTTCTGACTATGGAGCTGCCAATCACCAGAGTGGGCTTCTCAGTGGGTGTGTCACTGAGTGGGGAAAACCGGTTAGAAACGTGAACGGGTTGGTGGTGACCAGTGGGCAGAGATCCACGACTATGCTTTCTGCGTACAGTTACCCAATCGCCTGGCTGCTCAGGCACTTTTGGAGGAGAGCTACGTGGGGGGCCTACTTTAACTCCTGGATGTTCAACAGCCTGAAGCCTGGATTCTAACTCTGACACCCTCGCCTCCAAAGCTACAAAAATACTGCACTTATTACACATCCCATTATCACTAAAGGAGGCAGAGGAATAACTGAACATCTGACACAGAGAGCAGGAGAGAGGAGAGGAAGAAGGAAGAGTTGGAAAAGAGTTTATGCTTCTAGTTTACGTTCCTGACTTTTTAAGTCCCTGTTTTTTAGGTTCCTGCTTTGGGTTCTAAGTTTATTTTCCTGGTTTATGTTACTGATTTCTATTCCTGGTTATGAATGTCCCTTTTGAAGGTTGTTTATTAAATCTCAGGAATTTCTTCCTTCAGCTTTGTTAACAACAGCTGATATACTCCTGATAAAAGCACATCCATTTATTTATCTAAATAAACACAAAGTTATGTCAATGTGTTTTATTACCGTGACTTTCTTTTGTTGATACTTTAAATATATACGTACATAAATAAAGCCAAATAAGGAATAAACATCTGTAATTATCTGAATTTGATGACATTATTTAATCATTTGAAATTACAGGATGAAGGAGAACCGTTTGTTGAAAAATGTATTTTTAGCTATGGTGAACTATAGTGACTGAAGCCCTTTATTTTGAAAAACTACACAAACAGGAAGCTGTTTTCTGCATGTTGTTGTGGAGTTTGACAGTCAGCTCTCAGAGACGCTCATTCCTGTGAAGGAGCGGCAGGTCTGGAGGACATTCAGTCAGAAAACAGACTACAGTAGGTTTCAGTGGAAACTGTTCTGGCCCAGTATGATGGACCAAACTGGTCTCTTAACGCTGCTGGGATTCCTGCTTTGTGGTAAGTTCAATAAGAAGAGACCGAAAATGATGTCACTGTGTGAACTAATGAGGTTAATTAGTGAGATTCACTGTAATGAGCTTCCTGATGTTAGGACTAACTACACTGTTGTGCTGAACTGCTCAAAACTTTAAAAAAATCCCAAATCTTTGGAGTCTGCTGGGTTTATTATCTGGGGCCGCAGTGGGATCTGGATCAGGGGACAACTCCAGAGGGAAGCAGATTAGGATTATTTTTAATAGTGAGAGTAACAGTTTACCCTCCCTGTTCCTGTGAGTCTGCTTCAACCTGTTTGTATTTTTAAGGCTTTACAATATGTATCATCTTCGTAGTATCAGTGTGTGAAATATTTATATGCCAAAAGATAGTTTAAAGTTTTTTAAAGTATTTTGAACCTGTATTTTACTTTCTAATGAAAAACTTTAATGCCACAGAGACCGAAGCACAGATTAGAGAGAGAGAAAGAAAATAGATTGATATTAAAACTAGTATTTTTATTTCATTATTTACCAATATCATCGGTTGACTTTCTGATATTGTTCATCGCTGTTTTTTCTCTAAAACAAACCCTCTGAACCGGTGCTTTGGTTTGGCTTTTATTCAGTCTCAAATTTCATACACATACAAACAGAGTGCAAACACCATTCACATTAATTTGAAACAAATGGAACTTATACGTAAAACTTTACATCCATTGGCCGTTCTCTATAGGATACATGCCGAGGTCTCCCCTTCCTGCACCCTGGAGACACTATGCTTGATATGATTCAAAATAAGATTTAAAATATTCACATCATCAGTATTTTTGGTGTCTAAAAAAATGCTGGAGTGCAAGTAATGTGACTCATATAATTCCTGTTTCAGATCTATTTAGGCTAGATAAAGACTGCATAGACTGATCTATAGACTGAAAAGTTTACTTGTCAAGTACGTAGAAATGGAGTCTAGACCTGAATTTACCGGCAATTACTTATTTACCTAATATATTTTAAAGGAAGTTAAATCTGTGACTGAAAAAGTTTATTGGATGCAATCAAAATAAAATGATGAGCCTCATGAAAAAGGGTCCAAAATATTTGCCTTTCTTTGGCGTTCTGCTGTTCTTTTGTTTGACCTGGTTTTGCTGAGTTTCCTGTCATGTCAGGAAGCTGATCGCAGTCTTCCCGTTTCCTCCAGTATGGTCATCCGACTTCATAGGAAGTCCAAACAATGGCATTCCTCTGGAGCTGCCACAAATAGATATAGTCTGGGAGTAGTTTGAATATGTTCTTGTTTTCTTGCTATGAAAAGGGAACTCAGAGACATTGAGATGGCTCCTAAAGGTGAGGTCATTGATACCTATAGGTATATTTGTTTTGTAGTCTGGACTTTAGACTTCATTGATCTCACTGTGGAGAAATTCACTTGTCACATAGTTATTGCACAAGTTATTGCTGTTGTGGCGTTCTCTTTGAACAGGAAGAAACCTCCAGCAGAATCAGGCTCAGTGTGAGCGGCCATCTGCTAAGGCCGACTGGGGTTCAAGGAGACAGAAGCAGACATAGAAAACGAACATAGAAGCTCGGATCTGTAAATACTTTCTATGTTAGAAAATCTAACGGTAAACTTGCTCTGCAGGTGGATCTGTCTGGGAAAGAAACTGTTAAACAAAGGAGCTCTGAGTCAGTTTTCATGTCAAAGGATGAAATGGAGAGCCGATACCTTTAGGAGAGAACCTGTACTAAAGACTGAAAAACAGGCCGGAGTCACAGCCAAACAGGAACAGACCAGATGAAGCTACTATGAGAAAAAGCAGAGAGCAGAACGTTAGAGATTGAACTAACAGATTCTGCAGAGTGGGAGAATAGACGTGAATGACGTGGAATGATGAAAAAGGGGTCCCTAGGATCAAAGCAATCTATACCCAGTTCAGATTCTATGGCAACCTCAGATGCTGCCCCACCTTCCAGAGACAAACCAATCATAGTTAGAAAGGTGGAATGAATGTGACAGACTGGGGACCTGTCCAGGGTGTAACCTGCCTTTTCCCCATAGACTGCTGGAGATAAGAAGGAGAGGATGGATGGATGGATGGATGGATGGATGGATGGATGGATGGATGGATGGATGGATGGATGGATGGATGGATGGATGGATGGATGGATGGATGCTTTTTCATTAGCTGGGATTTTTTTAGGCCACTGTATCGGTCATCTATATTCATGATATTCGTATTAAACACATTTTTTATGTCCAACCATGTGCTGGTTTGTAAAACGTTTACAATTTAGTCAGAAGTGACATTAAATGTCGGTTAATTTCAACCAAAAAAAAAAAGAAAGTAAGAGGGCCAGTTCTACATATTATCAGAGAAACACTGCGTAACTTCTGACCCAAGTATTCATAACTCATAGTGAGACTCTAATGTAGACTTAGCAGGAACCATTTAGTCTATATCCCCACTGTGTCCTCCTCAGGTACCAGAGCTCAGACTGAGGACATAGCACCAAGCATTGTCCACCAGCCCTCTGATGTGGTGGCGAAACTGGGCAACCCTGCCACTCTCTCATGCCGGGTGGACGGTAGCCCCAAGCCCACCATCGAGTGGCTGAGGAACGGTCAACCCCTGGGGACTGAGATGGGGGCTGGCCCGGGTCAACCCCTGGTTCTGTCAGAGGGGAGCCTGTTCTTTCTAAGAGTTGGAGGAGGCAAGCGAGGCCAGTCCCATGAGGGCGTCTACGCCTGCGTTGCCAGAAACAGCGCCGGTGTGGCCATCAGCCGCAACGCCTCGTTGTTTATAGCAGGTAAGATGGGGGTATAAACGGATTTCCTGTCCTATGATGATATTTAAAGACAGCTAATTATTGGATCGCATAAAGACTTTACTAAAGCAATAGAGATGTTTTGATTGAAATATCTGCAATTACATGTCAAACATGGAGCTTAAAGTAAAAGGACAATATGTACACTATCAGCTCTCTGTGTTGAAAAGTTGCTGAAGGCTTAAACCATCCTTTTTAAAGCAGGTGAATGTAATGGATGCATTCACTAAAAAACTCACAGAGAAACCAGATGAAGGTGCAGTTCCTCCAAGGTTTAACATAAGTCACCAAAGAACAGAAAATAAAGACCATAACAGGCTGGTAAAGTTCTGTTACCAAAAACACAAACTAAAGCTGGTCTGGGCCGGAAATTACGCTAAATACCGCCTGAATAACACAGAGAATGACGGCCCTTTGCTGCCCAGATCTGATTTACAAGAAGTACCCCATTACGGGGAGTGTTGGAAGTGCCCGTTTCGATCCCCACAGCCTGCACTCTGGGTTCCTGAGCAAGACCCTTAACCCCACACTGCTCCCCGGGCTCCGATCAATGGCAGCCCACTGCTCCCCAAGGGGATGGGTTAAATGCAGAGAACGAATTTCCCCATGGTGGGACAATAAAGTGATTTACATTTACATGCAAGGGCCAGCTGGGGACCATCTGGAGGACCTGTGCTGGCCCAAAACTGTTTTAGCGCTACAAGTTTTGTAGTTTTGAATGATTTGAATGTACTGATTCGGTTCCCTCTATAGAACTGCTGATCCCATCTCTACCTACATGGGGGACTGTGGGATCATCAGTGCAATATAAACACCTCCACAATCACTGTGAGCTTTGGTGCTTGAGGTGTTTCCAGGTTCCTGGTCCCGGTGGAACCCATTATTCGGGTCCAGCTCAGTTTAAAAGTCAACTCTGTGTTCTTGTAGTTCTTAAGGATGAGTTCAGAGCAGAACCTAGTGATGTGGAGGCGGCTGAAGGGGAGGCGGCCGTCTTAAATTGTGAGCCACCGCTGGGACGCCCAGAACCTAATGTATTGTGGAAGAAGGACGGCATTCCCATCAACAACACGGACCCCCACTACACAGTAAGAGCCCCGACCCATCATCTACTGCAGCCTCTATGCGAAGCCACTAACTGATGGCTCTGTTCTGCAGAAGCTGAGTGGGAAGCTGATCGTTGAGCCTGCAGAGAAGAGCCATTCTGGGTCTTATGTCTGTGAAGCCAGAAACATCATGGGAGTGAGACAGAGCAGGCCGGCTCGGCTTTCTGTGCTGGGTGAGAGCAGAACCAGGAGCTCTGACAAGCAAACCCTCTGACTAACTCACAGCCATCCACTGAGTTTCTGCTTTCCTCTGCAGCCAAACCTGCTTTTGTTCTGAGGCCAGAAAATGTGTCTGTGAGGACGGGAGAGTCCGCCCACTTCCACTGCCAGGCTAAAGGTGACCCCCCTCCTGCTGTGGCGTGGAGCCGAGACCGAAGCCCTCTGCCCAATGGCAGGTAGACGCCTTCAGTTTCCGATCTACCTTCAGTCATCTGTGACAGACAGGATGTCTGAGGAAGAGTTTAGCTCATGGTTAACTTCCTGTTCCTGTGGAGGTGTTGACAGCGCTCCACCTGTCCCAGTCTGAGGTACCGTGGCCCAGTTGACCGGTCCTTGTGATGCGCTCTGCTTCCAGGTATCTCATCAACCCAGACCAGACTCTGCAGCTCCATTATGTGACGGCGCAGGATGCTGGCCTGTACACCTGCACTGCTGCCAATCATGTAGGTGTTGTCAGGGCCACCGCAACGCTTCAAGTCCAAGGTCAGTTTAATTCTCTCTCTGAACTGTTTTTCCAGTGCTTTGTATTGGATTTGATGTTGCTGGAAATTCTGCAGCATCAAACAGAGTCAATCAGCTTCTACCCTAATGGCTGCAGGCAGCCTGTAATCCTCCTTTTAGTCAGTTTAAACTGTTCAACAAATCAAGAGAGTGCTAGAAGAATGACTTTTAGATCCCAGTGATTTAATTGTCCAGCTAAAAATCTTAATTAAATGGAGAATGTGTGGAGAAGAAAATAACAAAAGATTGATCTGTGCTAATCTAAATCATCCCATGGAGGTCTGGATGTGTTCGCAGAAGGAGCCGTTAGAAGCCGCCAGACTGTGACCGCCTAAGATGGAGTAGCACGGAGGAGCTGCTACAGTCCGTGGCTACGAGCTAACCACGATAGCTAAAACGGGAGACATCCCGCATGGTACCATGAGTTATAAAATTAGCCCCCTTGCAAATCGCCTCTTATTGTTGCACCGGATTGGTCCAAATGATGAGAGGACTGGAGCGAAGACTGGCCTGCAGAAAGCGGACCGAGCTGAAGGCCTTCACTCCACTGAACCAAATCAATAAGTGCATCCTTTCCCCTCCTTTCCATCTGATGCTTAATAAGTGCCCTGCTTAGGTGAACTACAGTTAGAATAGAATAGTCCTGTTGCTGGTTTTATTTGAAATAATCTCTCTGATTCAACTACTGATGGTTAAAGGTTTAACTGAATGCTAATGCTCACTACAGACCGAACAAGTCACGTGTTGCTGAAGCTAAATGCTACATCATGAACATGCTATTATAAAGGACACTTTTAAATGCATTAATCCTTAAACTTTGAACATCACTAAGACTTTGAACGGTCTCTTAAACCCCTCTTCACTTATTTCTTTAATTTTGCTTATTTTCAGTAGTGTTTAGTGTTTTGCTTAGTTATTACATATAATACTCTTTAATTGTGACCCTGCCTATGAAAACCCAGCTAAAGTCATTTTTTGGTGAATCTCAACTTAATGTATAAAACCATTCTACACAATGTTAAGAATGGTTTTATACATTAAGTTGAGATTCACCAAAAAATGACTTTAGCTGGGTTTTCATAGGCAGGGTCACAATTGTATCTAATAAAGGTACCATTGTATTTTAACCCGTGGTCTTTTGTGTTCATTTTACACAGTGAACGATTTATCAGTCAGGTTGGATTCACTCTTCTTTCAATAGCATCCGAATGAACAGAGACACGTTTATTTGGTTGGTGATTAATAACGTTGCCAAGAGCCATAGCCTGAATTACTAAATTGGTGAAAGAACACCGGATTTTTAATAGCTAGATTCAGGAGTCTAACCTTTTAGGAAAGGGGCTAAAACCCTGGTCAGTAAGCAAATTACAGTTATAATCATTCAACCAATAATAAATAACAAGTTTTACCCTTGATTTGAATGGCCTATTAATTAACTATAACTTCCAGTTCTAGTTATTTAAAATATTCATAATCTTCTGATTAAATTCACAACAGCCTTCAAACGAGTTCTCTCTAAGGCTCTGAGGTTCTCATGGTGGAAGCTGATGGCTACCAAATGCAGACATGTCAAGTAACAAAGTAGAAATACTTAATTTCTTGACTTTAGTAGAAATGTTGGCTATCTATTCTTTACTGGAGTAACTGAATTTCAGACATTTTACTTTCTACTCCTTACATTGTAAAAATAGTCTCGTTAGTTTTGTTTCATTTAAGCTCATTTTAATTATGGCCTGTTGGCATTTAGAAAAAATAAAAACCATCAAAATAATTAGTTTCATCCAGACAATTAATTTATTTGTGGTTGGACTCGGTGCTGCCCCAACTTGTTGTTCACCTCATACCAAAATAAATAGTTCATCAAGATGATGCAAAGTTAAATTTGACCAGTTACCATTAGTTATAAAACTAAAAAAAATGAAGTTTAAGGAAGTTATCATCCAGAATTATAGAAAAATGTTGTTTTAATAGGGTAGAGCAGTAAAGCTTCTGGCCTTAACAGTTTTTACTGCATTACTTTTACTTTTATACTTTACTTAGTTTTAAAAATGGTACTTTTACACTTTTACTGGAGTAAAAATCTTAAGTTGATCCTCTAACTTCAACAAAAGTGTTTTTAAACACTAGGATTTATACTTCTACTGGAGCAACCAACATTAATAGTTTTGACACCTCTGACCATGTGGTAGCACAGACCATCCCAGTGTGATGCTGGAGGATGCTCTCCTCATGTTCTCGACAGTGTCTCTCCTCTGGCGTCCCCCTGAGGGAGTGAACTTGTTCCAGTCAGGCTCAGTGTGTCATCCTGAAGGGCGTGGGGCTGGAAGCACAGCTAGCCGTGGACGACATCAGGCCTTCAGTCACCGTTATGGAGACTGTTTGGGACGTTCTGAGAAGAAACATGGATATCAGGGGCCTGCAGGAGCTCATTTTGCAAGAGCTCATTTTGCTGGAGGCAATTTTGCTGTCATCTTGTGTAGTGGTGCTCCTATGGACCCCTCGGGTCCTGGTCTGTCTCCTCCATGCTATGGACCCTGTGCTGAAGGACACAGCAAACCTTTGTGCCTCAGCTGGCATTATTGTACCATCCTGGCTTAGCTCCACTCCCTGACCAACCTCTGTGGGTGAAACTGATTCAGGCTGAATTACTCTGATGTCAGGTTTGGATCAGGAGATCCCACCTAGTAGGAAAACCTTCATTGATGCGTTCAAAGACATTTATATTTATTTTTTTACCTTCTGCTTTTGCAGAAGCTCCCAGAAGTGAACAGAGGGATTTCCACAGAGAGCTTTCCGCCTTACGAGTGGCTCTAGATAACGTCGCCATGGCGGCCTCTGGATCCAACATGTCTCTGGTTCAGTGGAAGGTAGGGGAGCTGCTGGTTCAGAGCTTCACAGCAGGAGCGGCTGAGCAGTTTGAACTTTGGTGTTTTCTGTGAACAGCTCCAGAACTTCCCAGCTCAGCCACACTACCTGGATGGCTTTGAGGTTCTCTATCGCTCCCTGCTGCCTGCCAGCTCCGACTGGGCAGGAAAGAAGGTCTCACTGCCGAGCTTCCAGACGCAGGTGGGACCCCTGAAGAGGGGCTACAAGTATGAGTTCAAGGTCCGTCCTTATGGCAGCAGCTTGTTTGGAAGGGAGAGCAACACCCGGCATCTCAGGGTCCCTGAGAAAGGTGAGGAAGGCTTTAACACTTTTCCCTCCACCTAAATTCATCAATTTAAACCGACTCATTTCATTCAAACAGTGCCCAGTGCCCCCCCACAGGCAGTGTCCATAACAGTGGACCATGAGAAGAACAACAGCATCCGTCTGAGCTGGGAGCCTCCTCCTCATGACAGCCACAATGGGGTCCTCCAGGGCTACCAGGTACTCCAGGTTATTTCTATAGCACCAATTCACATCATGTCATCTCAAGGCACTTTCCAGATCATCCAGTCAGATTGATTCAAAGTTTTCTATCTAAGGAAAACCAGCTGATTGCATCGACTCATTGACTCTTCAGCAATTCCTCACACTAAGCATGCTTGTAGTGACAGTGGAGAGGAAAAACTCCCTTTGAACAGGAAGAAACCTCCAGCAGAACCAGGCTCAGTGTGAGCGGCCATCTGCTGAGGCCCACTGGGGTTCAAGGAGACAGAAGCAGACATAGAAAAAGAAGCATAGATACAAAAGGCAACTGCCAACCAGCTCCACAGGCGGCCCCGAAACAGGACTACACTGAAAAGCAGACCAAGCTCCAACATCTAGAAACAAAGGTGTTGATGGCAGCAGCACAGCTGATATTTCTCTCCAGGATGGAGTCACAGCCAAACAGGAACAGACCAGATGAAGCTACTATGAGAAAAGGCAGAGAGAGCAGAACGTTAGAGATTGAACTAACAGATTCTGCAGAGTGGGAGAATAGAGATAGAATGAAGAAAAAAAAAAAAGGAAAAGGGCTCCCTATGTCCTCCAGCAGTCTAAGCCTATAGCAGCATAACTATAGAGATAGCTCAGGATAACCTGAGCCACTCTAACTATAAGCTTTATCAAAAAGGAAAGTTTTAAGCCTAGCCTTAAAAGTAGACAGGGTGTCTGCCTCACGGACTAAAACTGGTAGTTGGTTCCACAGGAGAGGAGCCTGAGAACTAAAAGATCTGCCTCCCATTCTACTTTTAGAAATTCTAGGAACCACTAGTAAACCTGCAGATTGAGAGCGAAGTGCTCTGTTAGGAACATCAGGAACAATCAGATCTCTGATATCAGATGGAGCTTGGCCATTTAAGGCTTTATATGTGAGAAGGAGGATTTTAAATTCTATTCTGGATTTAACAGGAAGCCAATGAAGAGAAGCCAGGATAGGAGAGATATGATCTCTCTTTTTCATTTTCATCAGAACTCTGGCTGCAGCATTTTGGATCAGCTGAAGGCTTTTAACTACAGTTTGTGGACTTCCTGATAGTAAAGAATTACAATAGTCCAGCCTTGAAGTAACAAATGCATGGACTAGTTTCTCAGCATCACCCCTGGACAGGAGATTTCTCATTTTTGCAATGTTCCTCAGATGAAAGAAGGAAATTCTAGAAACCTCTTTGATCTGGGATTTAAATGACAGGTCCTGATCATCATCTTCATCCAGAGTATTGACTAAATTCCTTCCTTCCTTCCTTCCTTCCTTCCTTCCTTCCTTCCTTCCTTCCTTCCTTCCTTCCTTCCTTCCTTCCTTCCTTCCTTCCTTCCTTCCTTCCTTCCTTCCTTCCTTCCTTCCTTCCTTCCTCTGAATTTCCAAATGTCTACATTTTGTCCTTTTTTAAGTGGGAGAAATGTTTCTTATCGTGATTATTTTTTCATAATTCAATTAAGACTTTAATTATAATCTAATATTTATATCAGAAATGTATGTTTATCTTTTTAAGGTGCAGTAATGTTGGTTTTTAAATAAAGATTTTAAGCTTGAAATCATTTCTAATTTTGAAACCTAAAAGTATAGTAAACATAAGTTATCTTTTTCTGTTTTTAAAGAAGGTCATGCTTTGATTTGTGGCTGTAATGTGGTTTTATTAGCTGGACTAGAGTCAAAAAGGAGTCTGTGGATCGTAAAGGTTGCAGAACCCTGATTCAGAGCAACAGCTTAACATTAATGAAGGTAATCCTTCATAATAAGGTTAGAAAGTTGTTCAGCAAAGCAGAGGAGAATGAGCATCAGCCTTCTTCCTCTGATGATGAAGATGTGAACCCCTCCTTCAGGTGTGGTGTGTGGATTCGGAGGAGCAGCAGCATCAGAACTGGACGGTGGACAGCAGTCAGCACAGCCTGGACATCTCCTCCCTGAAACCAGACAAACAGTACTGGATCACCATGGCGGCTGTGAACGGTGCTGGAGTCGGCGCGCTTAGCGACCCTCACGGGTTTTTCATCAGTGAGTTTTTTCATTGTTTGTCCATCAGGACCTTACTGCAGGATTTGACCCCTGCAGGATTTGACCCCCCTGGACTGTCTGCTGTTCCTCAGACCCACAGCTTGGAGCCGCCGCACACTGGGACAGAAAACCTGCCCTGGCCCTGCTCCAGGAGCCGGAGTTCATTGGCAGCGTTGGTGCCCTCCTGTGGTGCCTTCTGATGATTGCAGCTGTTGTTCTGTTCAGATGCCGCAGCAGCAGGGGGCGCCTGTTAGCTCAGCATGGCAAGGCTAAAGGTAGGCTAACGGATGTCTGCAGGAGTCCAAGGAAGTAGAAATGAATCTGATGATTGTTCTCCTCAGGTCTGCGTAGATTGGCCAGTGAAGATCTCATCATCAAACACAGGTGAGATGAGGCCTCATGATTCATTGAACCATTGAGCCCATAGCTGGTGAAGATTCTCAGTCATTCAGGTCAGAGTCATTCCAAAAAAAGCTTAAAAAAAATCCACTGGACTTTGTTTCCAAGTTTGAAGACGTTTCTCTTCCCATCCTGGAAGCTTTTTCGATTCCAAATGACAGAAATAGCGTTCAGTTCCAGGTTTTATCCAGCAGCCCAACAAAGCCTTGTTTTAGTTTAGAAAACATGCAAATAGAAACGGATACCTGTCTATGTCTCTGAAAGGAGGGTCGTTAAAGGAATTTTCTTCCTTGCTGAATAGCATCAGGTCCATACATTCTTCAATCCGTCTTTCTCATGTAAGCTGACATTGTATTTTTAGGTATCAAAATTTAAGATATCATGAATCAGTAACTGTTTCAGTGAAGAAAGCAGCAGAGTCCAGCTTTTTTAATCAGAATAGAAGATAGAGAAAATAATGTTGACAAAGAATGAGGTGGGGAATGCTTAAGAGGTTTACTTCCTCGCTGTCCTGGCCAGCAACAGCCTCTTTCTCCCCTCTAGCGTACTATTTTCCAGCAGATGGATTCAATCTCCTCTATGCTCCTTCAATCCTCAGCAGTTAGCCTAGCTAGCCTCAGTCAGCTGCAGCCTCTCCCTGCTCTGGTGTTCTGTCTGCCCTTCGGGCTCCTCCAGTCTGATGCTACGTTCAGACCGCACGCTGCAGAAGAAGAGGAAGCAGCTGGTTTCAATCAGGGGTGGACTGGGACAAAAAAATCAGCCCTGGCATTTTGGACTAGACTGGCCCACCACATTTTTTTGGTGTACTGAATGTGTATACCAACTGTGCAATACATTGAGGTCAGGTTAATGGAAATTAGTGACAGAGGACACTTAAAATACTTCCAAAATCTTAAATTATTTACACTGTAAAATGTTAACTCCACCACAGCACAGCAACAGTTCTTATATCAGAGAGAGAGAGAGAGGGAGAGGGAGGGAGAGAGAGAGAGAAGGAGAGAGAGAGACACAGAGAAAAGTCACAGTCAACCACACAAATTACGCTACTCTTCTCATGCTCTTCTGTGCGCTGGTGCTCATGCCTCCAATCAGACATCCCAGTAATAAATGAGCTTGTGTCAGAAGTCTTTCCAAATGCAATACATACAAGACAAAATAAAGCATGACGTTTCTCACAATATGTGAGCCACCTCCTGTAGGTTGCATTTTTAGTGGTGAATACCTTTTGCACAGCTGGATTTGTTGTGCTTTGTTGTGAGTGGTGATTCAAAAAGTTTTGTAAAAGACAAGGATCAGGACGGGCAAAGTAATCTATTTCCTCCTGCTCTCCTCTCTCTCACCATGTCTCTCCTCAGCCGCACTGACATCATGTTCACTGCTCGGTTCGCCGTCGCCTCTACTACAACCACAGACTTCCCAAGTTCCAAAAACTAATTTCAGGGAGATGCTTAATGAAGATAAACTGTGCCTTCATCAGTAGTGGATTAGAGAAATACAGTGAAGTTCAAAAGAGGCCCAATTCAATTCAGTTTGCTTCAGGTAGATATTTCATAATGCAGAAAATAACAATCTTATTGTACAATTTATTTATGATGCTTTATAATAATAAATAAGTGCCATAAAATACACTCACCGGCCACTTTATTAGGTACACCTGTCCAACTGCTCGTTAACACTTGATTTCTAAGCAGCCAATCACATGGCGGCAACTCAGTGCATTTAGGCATGTAGACATGGTCAAGACAATCTCCTGCAGTTCAAAGCGAGCATCAGTATGGGGAAGAAAGGTGATTTGAGTGACTTTGAACGTGGCATGATTGTTGGTGCCAGAAGGGCTGGTCTGAGTATTTCAGAAACTGCTGATCTACTGGGGTTTTCACGCACAACCATCTCTAGGGTTTACAGAGAATGGTCCGAAAAAGAAAAAACATCCAGTGAGCGGCAGTTCTGTGGGTGGAAATGCCTTGTTGATGCCAGAGGTCAGACGAGAATGGCCAGACTGGTTGGAGCTGATAGACGGGCAACAGTAACTTAATTAACCACCCGTTACAACCAAGGTGGCAGAAGAGCATCTCTGAACGCACAGTACGTCGAACTTTGAAGCAGATGGGCTACAGCAGCAGAAGACCACACCGGGTGCCACTCCTTTCAGCTAAGAACAGGAAACTGAGGCTACAATTTGCACAAGCTCATCGAAATTGGACAATAGAAGATTGGAAAAAGGTTGCCTGGTCTGATGAGTCTCGATTTCTGCTGCGACATTCGGATGGTAGGGTCAGAATTTGGCGTCTACAACATGAAAGCATGGATCCATCCTGCCTTGTATCAACGGTTCAGGCTGGTGGTGGTGGTGTCATGGTGTGGGGAATATTTTCTTGGCACTCTTTGGGCCCCTTGGTACCAATTAAGCATCGTTGCAACGCCACAGCCTACCTGAGTATTGTTGCTGACCATGTCCATCCCTTTATGACCACAATGTACCCAACTTCTGATGGCTACTTTCAGCAGGATAATGCGCCATGTCATAAAGCTGGAATCGTCTCAGACTGGTTTCTTGAACATGACAATGAGTTCACTGTACTCAAATGGCCTCCACAGTCACCAGACCTCAATCCAATAGAGCATCTTTGGGATGTGGTGGAACGGGAGATTAGCATCATGGATGTGCAGCCGACAAATCTGCGGCAACTGTGTGATGCCATCATGTCAATATGGACCAAACTCCCTGAGGAATGCTTCCAGCACCTTGTTGAATCTATGCCACCAAGAATTGAGGCAGTTCTGAAGGCAAAAGGGGGTCCAACCCGTTACTAGCATGGGGTACCTAATAAAGTGGCCGGTGAGTGTATTTGCTTGTGTGCTTGCATTAATGATCTGTGCCCATGTTTTTATAAAATAAATAATTGCCCAAAATTTGTTTTGCTCACGTGCTCTGTGCGCTCGCATTTTATTTGGTGCCCTATTGTGCCCCTGTATAGTACTGGGTCAGCTGACGCCCCTGGCCGCACCGTGCCCCATTCATGCAGTCCATCATTCTTCGCCCTCACTAGACATGGAGACACTTTCTGCTGTAAAATGAGGTGACTCTAAAAGAGTAAACTGAAACTTATTGGCTTATTTTTCTGACTGATCCAATCAGCTCTCTGATCAACCAGTCGCCTGGATGGCTGGTTGATCAGAGCATCGCTTTGGAAAGATATGCTGCACAGGTTTCACCAGCAACCTCCTCCCGACACCACGGTCTCTCTCTTGTTGTTCCTGGGCAATCACAGTAGTTCTAATCTGCACATGATGCATGAATTATTGTATTTCTTGCCCGCTCTCACTCGCATTAAAAAACACCACCTCACATAGTCTAAAATCCGGGATAATTTATCCGACTCGCGGGCATCCGTGAACAACTATCTACATCAGGGAGACTCCAGGAACTTCCAGCAGACCTGGGATGTCTGCAACCATCATATTTTATATCAGACACCGGAGCAGATGAAGGCCTGCTGTTGGGAACATGGCAGTCAGTTTGACACATTTCGCAGCGTCCGTTTGAAGAACTCGTTTCTTTGCGTTTCTCATCCATTACTACCGTGAACACCGCTGCACAAAGTTCCAATGGAGAGTGAAGGTGTTTCTCTACTTTCTGATTGGCCTGGCCCTTTAGACTGTCAGGGATGATAACCAATGGGCTGCAGTAGCCTGAGGTAAGGGCCGGATGATCAGAACAGACTCTTGCGCTGCTGGTTTTATTTTTCTTCATGCATTATGCAAATATAATGAGGCCGATATATAATAAAAAAAAATAATAATAATAATACATATTATTAATATACATGTAGGGTCTGCCGGCCCAAACAGCACGTCGGCCAACCCGGTACGCCCGATTACCAGTCCATGCCTGGTTTCAATGCAAAGTCAGTGGTTGATGCACGGTCTGAACGTAGCATTGTTTTTTTTTTTTTTTTTTTTTTTTTTTATTTAAGAAAAAAAGGGACCGGGAACGGAAAATAATTTTGAAAGTTAAATTAACTGATTGAAAAGAGGAAGATGGCACTGGATATTCAATTCAATTCAGTTTATTTCTATAGCTCCAATTCACAACACGTGTCATCTCAAGGCACTTTCCAGTTCACCAGATCATCCAGTCAGATTGATTCAAAGTTTTCTATCTAAGGAAAACCAGCTGATTGCATCGACTCATTGACTCTTCAGCAATCCCTCACACTAAGCATGCTTTTAGCGACAGTGGAGAGGAAAAACTCCCTTTGAACAGGAAGAAACCTCCAGCAGAACCAGGCTCAGTGTGAGCGGCCATCTGCTGAGGCTCACTGGGGTTCAAGGAGACAGAAGCAGACATAGAAAATGAAGCATAGATACAAAAGTTAACTGTCAACCAGCTCCACAGGCGGCCCCGTCCAGGAAACACACAGCCAGGCAGACGAGCTCCGAGCCAGCTCCCATGTCAGAGGATGAAGAGAGCACATCCAGTTAGTCACAGTCAGAGAAACAGGACTACACTGGAAAACAGGCCAAGCTCCAACATCTAGAAACAAAGGTGTTGATGGCAGCAGCACAGCTGATATTTAAATGACAGGTCCTGATCAAAAATAACACCAAGATTTTTTACTTTATTATCTGAAATCAGTTTAATCCCATCCAAATGAAGTGACTGACTAATCAGCTTCTTTTTCAAAGACTCTGGTCCAAAGACTATAACTTCTGTTTTGTCTGCATTCAGAAGCAGAAAGTTAAGAGTCATCCAGGTTTTTATGTCTTCAGACATGCCTGTAATCTATGTAATGGGTTAGCTTCATCTGGATTATAGACAGATATAGCTGGGTATCATCAGCATAACAGTGGAAATTAATCCCATGCTGTCTAATAATTCTACCAATTGGGAGCATATATAAAGTAAAGAGAATTGGTCCTAGCACTGATCCCTGTGGTACTCCACTGGTAACCTTTGAGCATGTGGAAGATCTATCATTAACATGAACAAACTGAAATCGATCAGATAGATCAGATTTAAACCAGTCTAGAGCTGTTCCTTTAATTCCTACAAAATATTCAAGTCTTTCTAAAAGAATATTATGATCAACTGGATCAAATGCAGCACTGAGATCCAACAGGACGAGCACAGATACAAGTCCATTATCTGAGGCCATGAGAATATCATTAGTGACTTTCACCAGAGCTGTTTCAGTGCTATGATGAGCTCTAAAGCCAGACTGAAACTCTTCAAAAAGTTCATTATGGTGGAAGTGATCGCAAACTTGTTTGGCAACTACTTTCTCAAGAATTTTGGATAAGAAAGGAAGATTGGATATAGGTCTATAATTGACCAAGTCATCTGGGTCAAGAGACGGTTTCTTAAGCAGAGGTTTAATTACAGCAATCTTAAAAGCTTTAGGTACATATCCCTGTAACAGAGATAGATTAATCACATCTAAAATGGAGGAGGAGATCAAAGGGAATACCTCCTTAAATAACCTGGTTGGAACTGGATCTAACATACAAGTTGAAGGCTTAGATGAAGACAATAGTTTTGCTAACTCTGAAAGTTCAACTGGATCAAAGCAGTCTAAACCCGGTTCAGATTCCATGACTACCTCAGATGCTGCCACCCCCCAAACCAATCGCGGATAGAAGAGTGCTAATGATCTTATTTTTAATAAGATCAATCTTATTTATAAAGAATCCCGTAAAATCATTGCTGCTAAGAGCAGGTGGAATGGACGGTTCAACAGAGCTATGGCTCTGGGTGAGTTTGACAACTGGATTGAAAAGATATCTAGGATTAATGTTATTCTCTTCTATTAATGATGAGAAATAATCTGCTCTTGCTTTACAAAGGGTCCTCTTATACAGCAGTATACTATGCTGATGAAGATTCTCAGTCATCCAGTTCATATTCATTCTGTAAAAGTTCAAAAAACTCCACTGGACTTGGTTTCCAAGATTTGAAGACGTTTCTCAACCTCTCCAGGAAGCTTTCTCCATTCAAATGGATCAGCAGTGAGTTTGAGTCTTTATATAGACAAGGCCTTGTATTGCTTGGAAACATCCAAATAGAAACTGATGAGCGGGTAGTTGGGTCCATTGTTAGCCTGTAATATCTGAAACCTGTCGGTCGTTAAAGGGGGGGGGGGGGGTTGTCGTTAAAGGGGGGGATTGTCTCCTGTAATACCTGAAACCTGTCTATGATTGTTAAGGGTCGGTCGTTAAGGAGGTATTGTTCACCGGCTGGAGCGGGTAGGTCCCTCGTTCCTCTGTGATTATATTTCAGAGCCATTGGATTACCATTTGCCAGATTCCTAGGGCAGCCATTTGGAAATCTTCCCGCGGACACTGCAGGCTGGTCTGCACAGGTTGTTCCCTCTGTCTGCTGGAAGGAGAGCTGTTGTGAAGAAAGCTGGATGAAGATTTGCATAATAAATCTTATCTTATTATTTATTTCCTACTGACCAGCGTGATCCAAAACCGTGATGAAAAAAAAAAACTTTGTTTTTTGGTGTTTCTCCAGATTCTTAGCGTTTGTTTTTAATAAATAATTAATAAATAATTAAATCATCTTTCTGTTCCTCAGGATGGCCGTCCCAGATTCTCCGTGGATCTCTGGAAGCTGGAGGCCTCCCTTCAGCCAGAAGTACCAGGACCTGTGGGCTCAGGGTAGCAACCACCCTGGACTCAGGAGCACCAGTGAGTAAACGACACAGACATGGCGCAGTTCATTAAAATATTATCAAACCAGCACTTTGCCCTCACCGTGTGAGTCCAGATCAGTAACCAAAGACCTAGCAAGCCTGGTCACATGATGGAAGCAGTATAGATACTTGTTGGTAATGTGTCACTAATCCGTCCCTCTGCTCCTGCTGATAACCAGTTGTTATGAACCCAAACATCCAGACATCCCTTTAGTAAAACTACAAAACTGCTTCAAACTTGGATCTAAACAACATAATTTTAATAAACATTTTGAAACAAACTAATTCTTGGAAACTTAAATCTGTCAAATGATAATAACAATAATGATTTCTGATCAACGTCTTCAGTGGCAGAAAAACATTAAAGCACCAACAGCTGGTTGTTTCGTTGCTCCCTGCTGCTGCTGACCGGTTGCATTCAGCTCAGATTGAAATGAAGACATGTCAAACACCTGTACATCAGAAACCACGATTAGTTCTGAGCTTTGTCATTTAATCTGCATCTCTGCTTCTGTCTCCTTGAACCCCAGTGGGCCTCAGCAGATGGCCGCTCACACTGAGCCTGGTTCTGCTGGAGGTTTCTTCCTGTTCAAAGGAAGTTTTTTCTCTCCACTGTCGCTACAAGCATGCTTAAGGCTGATTCATACTTCGAAACTAGGTCGTCTGCGTAGGTGTCTCAGTGAACGCAGAGATGTCTCCGCCCCCTTCCGCAGACACTCTGCTGCACCTCACAAAGTGTAGGTGACCGCAGACAGGAAGCCTCTGATTGGTCAAATCTACATCCGTTTGCCGGCTTGTTTTTTTTTTATGACCACAATTGCGGAAAACAACTCCTTAAGTTGAACCAGCTAGAAGAGCGAGGTGCGTCAGAACGCTGGGACCCTTTTTCCACCTGGATCTCCGCTCTTTTGGCCATCATGTCCCTCGGTCGTCGCACAAACATGCGACGACGGAGCGTACAGCGTACAGCGCAGACCAAGCTCAAAATTTAGCATAAATCAGAAATGTATGCGTCAAGCTCACTGCGACACACTGCTGCAGGGAGGATAACCAGGCTATTAGTGTGAAGGATTGCCTTAGAGTCAATGACTCAGCTGGTTTTCCTTAGATAAAACTTTGAATCAATCTGACTGGATGATGTGGAGAACTGGAAAGTGTCTTTAGATGACATGTGTTGTGAATTGGTGCTATAGAAATAAACTGAATTAAATGAAGATATAAATAATTGCACATGGAAAATATCAGCAAGATCAAATAACTGGAAGTGGGTCAGGGGCTTTACTTATTGAACAGCCCTCATAAAGATGATGGAACAACATCACAAGCTGTGTTGTCATGACAACATTCAACCTTTAAGTGACAGTCCTATTTCAGCTTCAGGTGTTTGGATAGCATATTTTACCGACTGCAAAGAGTAACTTGTTCCTGTTTTTAATCAAGAGGATTAAATACAGACCTGCTGAGGAAGGACATTGGGGGCCAGTTTGACTAGAGATGCCACTGGGGGGTGCTAGAGCGCTAGGTGTCTTGTCATTTTGTAGCAGTTATGAAAATGTTCTTCAGATACACGGAGAAGAAAATGAGCATCCTGAGAGCAGACCCTCAGAAACTAAAAATGAAAATCTAAAAGCTCCTTTAGATGAATAAATAAGCATCAGGCTCAGTTTGAAGCGTAGCTCTGGTTCCTCTGAGGTTCTTTGGTTTGAAAATGATCTAACAGAAACCTTCCTGTGATGCTTGAAGGTCTCCCAGTCTCCTCCAAGCAGGACGGCGGGATCCTGGACTCAGCTGTTCCCATTGTGACAGACAGCTGTGGCGTCTACGGAACCTTCTATGTGGACCTGCAGGGGAGGGGCCTGAAGACCTTCAGCAGTCCTGGACGCTGCCCTAAAATGCCTCATGCTCCGCCTGATCAGCAAGGAGCTGAGACGATCCAGATCAGCTCTCAGCCCAGCTCCAAGTCCTCCTCCCTCAGCGGCCAGGAGGCTCTGCCCTGGAAGCAGGCCATAAGGCCTCAGCCTAAGATGGGCGTGCTGAGGGAATCATGGGAGAAGAGGAACTGTGGGAAGCAAGGTGAGTCTAACATGGTTTGGTGTTTTTACTGGTTTCTTTCCAGTCAGCTAACACTGAACCGTCTGTCCTCAGAGCTGCACGCAGTAAACAGCGTCCCCGTGCTTTCCTCCAGGAAGCAGGCCTGGCCTTCCACTTTCTGCACACAGAGACTCAGTCACATTCCAGCAGGACGCCATGGTACACCCTTCAGTTTGGTTTCCAGTCCTCTCCTACCCGTTAGCACGTCCCTGACTCTCCTCTGGTTCAGGTGGAGCTGCAGACTGTGGAGAAGCTGCTGCTGGATCTCGCCTGCTGCATTATTCTGCTTCCCTGCATCTAGTGGACCTGCTGCCCCCCCCACCGCCAACGGCCACAGAGAGAAACACCCTGTCCTCAGATGAAGGGTAAAACTCTGCTCTAATGGCTGACTGATCGTCACATTTCCACTAGCATCGGTTTGGTCTGATGTTGTTGAAGTCACATGTTTTATTTGTGTGTAGGACTCACATTGTTTCAGAGATCTGCTCACAGAGAAGATCTAAGCACTATCATGACAGTCAACAAATATGACAGCTTTGTTTTTTACTGGTTTATACTGTGCAAAGCATTGGGAAGATATAAAATCTCCCGAACATTTCCTCTGAGTTTATTCAGGGATACATCCACAGTTTCTCATGTATTGTTCTGGTAATGAAGTGAAGGGAAAACGGTTCAGTAAAATGACAACTAATCTGCATCATCCCTCAGTATGAAGCATTTATAATTTTCCCTGATCTGACCAGTGATGACATGTTTAGTCGCATGACATCATATAACCGCTGGTTGTCTAGGTGGTGTCCTGCAGACGATGTGCACTACTTGGCAATCCTTTTGGGGAAATCCTGGTCTGATTCGGAGAGAAGGCATCCCTCCCACTTTGCTCTTCTTTCTAGGAATCTGGCCACATTTATTAGTCCTCCAAAACCCTGACCAGACCAGGAAGCAGAAGATTAAATTAAAAGATTAAATGTAGTTTATTTATCCTAAGATTTCTTTCTTTAAAAAGTCTGCTAGTTAATGACTTGATTTGTGATAATCACATTGATTTATGTTGCCTTATAGAAAGTTGTTTCTCCTATTTCCAGAAATTGTTATGTAAAAAAATTGACATTCTAGGCAAGATCTCATTGAAAGATTGATTAATCAAGACTTTATATACACACACACACACACACTAATATATATATATATATATATATATATATATATATATATATATATATATATATATATATATATATATATATATATATATATATATATATATATATATATATATATATATATATATATATATATATATATATTAGGGATGGAACGGTTTATGAAAATCGCCCGAACCGTTCGGTTCGACTGTCTCGGTTCGGTTCGCGTGTGTTGCGTTCGGTTCATGCGCTGCTCCTTTTTCTCATAGGCGAAGCGTTTACACTCCAGAGCAGAAGGTGGCAGTACTGCGACCAAAGCCAACCACCAGTAGTAAACAAGAAGAAGAAGAAGCGAAGCAGCGTAGCCGGGTGTAGCAGGAAAAAATCAGTTGTTGTGGAGAATTGTGTGGGTATGGCGAGTGGGAAAGAACAGGAGTTGGAAGACGCGCCAGCAGCACTTTATAGGTCTGCTGTATGGGACCACTTTGCATTTAGAGTGACCTACGATGACGGCGGAAAGAAAGCTGGGGATAAAAGTGCAACAGTGTGCAAGCATTGTGCAACACGTTTTGTTTATGCTAACAGCAACACGACCAACATGTCATGCTAACCCCGAAATCCCACATACTCCGTCAGCGCTCCGCCCCGCTGCGCTCCAGACCGGCTGCTCAAAGCAAAGCCTACAGCCTCCGCTGTGGCTTCGTCTGCTCCACTCTGGGTCCCTTGGAGATGGTAGAGGGCATGCGCCAGATGATTAAATTCAAAGCAGCAAAACATGCAGAAATGATCCAGGGTTTCCGCGAATCATTAAAAATAATTACAATTCATTAATTTTTTTGGATTTTTTCATAAATTTTAAAATTTAAATGTATAAGAATAAACATATACCGAACCGAAAACCGTGACCACGAAACCGAACCGAACCATGGATTTTGTGAACCGTTCCACCCCTAATATATGTATGTGTATATATATATATATATATATATATATATATATATATATATATATATATATATATATATATATATATATATATATATATACAAAGTATGAATTGTCGGGCCCCCACTCATCAAGTCTTTAGATTTTGTCCCAGGCCCAGCCATTACTGTCAGCTTGCCTGTCTATGGTTATGTTGCAATAGGCTTAAACTGCTTGAGGACATAGGGAGCCCTTTTCATAATTTTGCTCCAATCCATTGCTATTCGCCCATCCTCTGACATGGGAGCTGGCTCAGAGCTGTGCTAAGCTGTGCATTTCCTGGACGGGGCCGCCTGTGGAGCTGGTTGACAGTTGCCTTTTGTATCTATGCTTCTTTTTCTATGTCTGCTTCTGTCTCCTTGAACCCCAGTGGGCCTCAGCAGATGGCCGCTCACACTGAGCCTGGTTCTGCTGGAGGTTTCATCCTGTTCAAAGGGAGTTTTTTCTCTCCACTGTCGCTACAAGCATGCTTAGTGTGAGAGATTGCTGCAGAGTCAATGAGTCGATGCAATTAGCTGGTTTTCCTTAGATAGAAAACTTTGAATCAATCTGGCTGGATGATCTGGTTGAATAGTTTTGTTAGGGCCTTGAGATGGAGCTACAGAAATAAACCTAAAATAAACTGAATTAAATAAATAGATTTGTTTAGATTTTTTTTGCTAATTCTATGGTCAGAATTGCTGATTGTCGATCAGCTGAGGACAGATATCCTCTGTCCTTTGCTGGTTCATCAGGACTCTGCTGTAGGGATGGTTTTATGTCCGGTTCTGTGTCAAAAGTATTTCCTCTCACCCAGATTTCTGCTGTTTTTGGACTGAATTTGTCTTTCAAACTGTGTTCAGTTCCAGTGAGTCCACAAAGCTTACAGAGGACATGGGCTCCATCCCTTCAATAAGTCCTTCATCAGGCTACCGTGGACAAGCAGGAGACATTAGGAGCAGCTCCAGCCACCCGTCCACTCCATCGTACTCCACTTTAATGGAGAATGATCAGAGTGCCTCCCTGACAGCAAAGGAAGCCACCGAGTACCTGGAGCTCAGCCCAAAACCTGAGAGATACAGGTACAGACATGTTTCCAGTTCCTTCTCTCCAGATGTCTGCTCTCTCCCTGACAGCTGCTCTCCTTGGGTCAGCAGTGTCTTGCCCTCCCTGCCCCTCAGCTTCTCCTCCACCCTGGGCAGCACCTGTGGGCCGGTTAGCTCCGCTGATCTGGAGGATGAGGAGGCACCTGCTGGAACTCCATCTTTACAGGCCATGCTGCATCGTCCTCGCTTTCAGACCTCGCCATCCTCCTGCTACAGCGACTGGGACAGCTCTCTGTGGAACACCTGGAGCTCGGCCATGGACAGCAACCGAACCAGCCTCATCAGTTCTGTGGACAGCTGCTACACCAACGACAGCTCCACATTTGCTCACCTGCTGGCTGTGGCTGCAGAGCGCAGTGGAGCCTCTCTGTCAGGTAAGGGGTTATGATAAATATCTTTTTTGTGTCCATAATCGTCGTCTTCCACAAAGTACTGGGTCACAGAGGCAACAGTCTCAGCCTCCCAAATCTTGTGTGGGACATACCTGAAAGACCTTGCTAGTGTTGTCTGATCCTCCTCAGTTGACTCCTCTGGATGTGGAGGAGAAGCAGCTCTACTCTGATCCTCTCCCTGATGACCCACCTCCTCACCCTCTCTCTAAGGGAGAGCCCAGCCTTCCTGCAGAGGTAGCTTAGATCCAGGATCTGGTTCTTTAGGTTCTGATCCAGATTTGATGACCATAGGTGAGGGTAGGAACGTAGAACCACCAGTAAACTGACCCAGCTCTCTCTGAACCACAACAGGCCGGTGCAGCAGCTGCAACGATCATCTATCAATCTCTCCTCGTTGATTTAAAGAGGCCTAAGATACTTGAACTCCTCCACTTGAGGCAGGACATCTAATCCAGGCCTCCTTTTCCTGGTCCAGATCCAGAACCAAGGCCTCTGACTTGGAAATCAATTTGATCTCAACATATTCTAGTGCAGCCTGGATAGAGAGATGATTTAACAATGAAAGTATCTAAAGAAAGGTCAAACATACAGTGTTTTTAAAAACACAGAGCTGACATTAGAAAATAAATCCTGTTTAAATTCCTGCAGTTGTTTCAATATTCCATTCAGCTGTACCTGAACGCAGCGTGAGCAGCTGGTAGGAGGTTGGTCTGCTTGGAGGCTACAGGCAGCTGTTTGGACATCAGCTGAGTTTACTCTGGATAGCAGATGATTGCATGTAGCTTATAGTGACCAGATTTGGGACATTATTTTGGGGGCGGGGGGGGCGCTGACTGGACCAGACCGGGCATTCGAACCGAGCCATCAGCTCCGGGGCTGATAACATCCACGGCTCCGGACTGCTTTGGTTGCTCCGTCCCCCGCTGGCTTCCTGCCTGCGTCCCCCGGGGTTCCCGGACCTGCCCTGGAGCTGACGGCTGCAGCTGACCTTCTGCTGCACTGCAGTCGACCAAAATCCTGGACCGTTTTAAAATTCCCTCCAGACAGTTTTTAAGGTATGAAAGTAGGACATGTCCGTGAAAAGAAGACGTCTGGTAACCCTAATGTATTTAATGTGGTTTGAGGGGAGTCTTTAGAACGATCCTACAAAACTGGAGACGTTTGCAGGAACGTTGATAAAAGTCTTCGTTTGGTCGTCCTTAATGAGAATTTAGTGAGAGCTTCTGAGTTCAGCTGTGGAGTGACAACAGAAACACTAACTGTTGAACATCTCTACAGTCGTTGGTTACACCTGAACTCTGCTGAACTGACAGGATATAAACTATATATAGCTGATTTAATACCCTTATCCATTCATGCTTTACTGTAGGAATCATGACTGAATATGCTGGTGAAGAAGGGGTGGGTATTGGCAAAGAAGTCACGATTCGATTCGAATCACGATTCACATGCCACGATGCGATTCTATCACGATGCATCACGATACTTGAAATATTGCGATGCATTGTGATATTTTCCCTGAACACTGTAAGAAAAAGATACAGCCCTTACCAGTGGCTGACTGGCTGGGTGTGATCTGGATGGTGTCTTCAATTGATACATAACTGAAAGCAACTGAATTCATACATAGCTGTATTTACTGAAATTACTTTTGGAGGTGTTGCCATGAAAACAAATACTGGACAGAAATATTACTATTACTGGCATGGACACACCAACAAAAAGATCTTAGGATTCATCAAACTTAAAATAACAAAATGAGGATAATCAGCCCGGACATGCTTATGACACAAAGCAGCAGGCGTCAACACATCCGCAGCGACATCTGCTGGACTGGAAGTTGTATTCCACTTGGTTTGATTGATGTGCGCCAACCATTAATGTATTTTATTTGTTCATTTTTTTTTTTTTAATAATCGATTCTTGCCTTCAAGAATCGATTCAGTAGATCACAAAAATTAGAATCACGATTCATCGATTTTACGATTATTTTGCACACCCTTAGTGAAGATTCTGCGCATTAGGACATTGTCATCCCAAAAAAAGAAAATTAAAAACAATTTTTGTTTCTAAGTTTGAAGACGTTTCTCTTCCATCCAGGAAACTTTTTCAGTTCAAAATGTCAGAAATAGCGTTTAGTTCCAGGTTTTATCCAGCAGCCCAACAAAGCCTGGTTTATGTTTATAAAACATGCAGATAGAAACGGATGAACGGGTCCACCTCTTCGGAATGGGGGTTCATCATCGCAGCCACAGCCTTCCTACAGGAAAGCAGAAGACCTCGCCTATTCAGCAGGACAACAATTCCCTTTAACTCCCCCCTTTCAGAGACATAGACAGGTATGGGGCATTGCAGGCTAACAAAGAAGCCAAATGACCCCCATTCCAAAGGGGGGGACCCGTTCATCCGTTTCTATTTGCATGTTTTCTAAACTAAAACCAGGCTTTGTTGGCCTCCTTTCTGTGTGATCAAATGAAACAATAAAGCTACTGATTAAATATCATCTGAATGCAAGGAGGATTTTAAACAAGATGTTAGAATACTATTTGATGATATTTACTATGATGTCTAAAGCCGTACTCATCTAACAAAGCTCCTCTCACACCATGCTGACGTCCCAGAATCTCCTAAAACGCTGGAATACTCTGAACTTTCTATAGATTTTTTCTATTCTGGGCGTAAACATAGAGCATTCATAATGAGTCCAGAACTTCTGTTCAACGACAGCCTAACTTCTGCATAACGCACGGCAGCGTAATGCCCATGAAATGAAGCACAAGCCCGTGTCCTGAGGGAGGCAGCGATGCGCCCGGCCTGCAGAAAAAGATTTCTTTTTCTTTCTTTATTAACCTAACTGCTGTCTACCGCCTGCCAAAAAAAAACAAAAAGAATAAAAATAAAGAAAGAAGGTCTGCAGTGGCAGCAGATTGAGCGTCATGTCCGCTAGGAAGTGTGTTGGTGGTGGGCGTGAACGCAGGGAGGATCCATCACTCACCTTCTGTCTCACCCTATGATGGGGATGAAGTCTGGAGGAGAACTGACGGTTTCCTCCTGTGAACCCCCTTTATACCTAAACGCTGCCAATACGCCATTATACAGTAGCTGGAAGTTAGAAACACGTTCAGCGCTCGTCTGGAACACGTCAGATACCTTGGAGAGAAGTTCTGGATAAGTTACGCACAAGTTACTCAGAGGTTTAGGAAAAGCTAGACGCCACGACTGATGAGGAACTGACACTGAACGGATGTCAGCCATCAGATAACTGACCTGGAACTGATGGACCACGGATGGCAGACGCTGGAATACGGCAGGAAATTTTCTCAAAATTGCAATTGCTCTCCAGATGTCGATGTGTGCCAGTGTGCCTCATCGTCCTTCAGTGTGCTCATAACTTATACAGAATGTACCCATAACTTATACAACGTATAGCAGCGTTTTTGCCAGATGTTTTGTACGTCAGCCATGCACTGGCTAAAGGCCTGGTTCTCCTCCTGCAGCAGTGTGTCGCAGGTATTTTTGATTTCTGCCCAATATTGAAGCGTGGTCTGCGCTACGTTATTCCACGCCACAACGCCAGAGGGCCAATCAGGAACTAGCTGTGGGTCTAGATACGGCCGAGGCGGCGAGGAAGTCGGGGCAAGTTTGGGTGACAACGGAGGGACATGAGGGCCAAAAAGAGCGGGGATCCAGGTGGAAAAAGGGTCCCAGCGTTCTCGCTCTTCTAACTGCTCCATCTTCACCAGTCGTTTTCCACAATGGCGGTCAGACAAACAAAACAAGCCGGTAAGGAACAAAACAGGAAATACGCATTTATATTCACTGTGACGCACACACAGATGACCTTTTTTTCCTGGAATAAATCAGGCTTTAGTCATCAAGGTGTGAAACGGTCGTTAATGTAGAAACAAATATCATGTTTATGTCTGAGCTCTGATGTTCTGATCCATCACTTCTGTAGATCCTTCTCTGTTCCTGCAGCTTTTCTGCTCAGCTGTCATTGAATGTTAAAATGCAGAACATTTCACAGCCCAAGCCTCAAATAATCCTGATCTCCAGCTGGAATAATCTGCATAACTCATAAACATAAGCAAAGCTAAATGGGTCAAACTGCTGAGATCTTCTGTTTCAATGCTGCAGACGATTCATCTGCTTTAGCTTTTCTATAAAAACATGAACGCTGAACCAGGTGTTAGTAACAGCGTCTGTCATTCAATCAGGAGGAAATATCAGTGGATCTGCTGCACTTCTTCCTTAGGTCCTGTCATAGAGTCCATCACGGCAGCAGCGCCGTTTTCCTAAAGATAAACTGTCTTTAAGTCATCAAAGGAGTCAACACCAAACATCTGTTGACTGAACAGTGTGATTCATATGTTGATCCACCAGATGGCGCCATCCTACTGTGATTTTTAGCTCCCAGCCTGTGGAGCCAGTTGGTCCTGATTTCTATTATTCTCAGGGTTCTACTCTGAAATCAATGTGAGGAACAAGATGTTAAACATGTTCACCCTCTGCAGAGAGACGCTGTCAGATGAGCATACCCCGTCAGACCAGCATACACATAGTCAATACCTATTTTTCGCTTTAGTTCATCCCTTTAGTTTTGAGACACTACCTCAACAGGAGTGTATCCCTTTAGTCATGTACAAAAAAAGCTATTTAATTACTTACTCTTTGCTGTTTATTTAAGCGTATGACAATCTGTCCTTAAATTTGATCTATCTAAAAGGGATAGATGCAAATCTGACGTCTGGGTCTAGGTATGCTGGTCTGACGGGGTATGCTGATTTGACAGAACAACGGATCCAGTCTGATACCGGATCTCAGGTCCCAGATGGATCCATCACTCAATCTGCTGCACAGACTGCATAAAACATTTAGAAATAAGAAGACATTTCTTAGAATAAGTGTATGTACCCTTAATTTGAGCAGGTAAATAAGATGATTTGTCAACTAATGAGTTAATTTACTCGTTAAACAAGATAACTAGATAATATGCAATAGTTTTATTCTTATCTTAAATGTAAATAGTATTATTCCACTGGCAAAGGGTCTGACTTACTTCCTCTCTAACTAAAAAGAATTCACTTATTTTGAGAAAAAATTACATATTTAGATTTCTGTTTCTTTCTTGTTTCACTTTAGACTCTCTTTCACCTTTAGTGTTGTTTTAACTGAAGCTGAAATGTCTCTCCGGGTTCAGGCCTTCTACAACCCAGAACCGGTTTTGGATGCGCCGTCAGGTTCTGGTTCCCGGCTCAGTCCGGCGATGTTGGCTGATGCAGAATTGTCTCTTTCTGTGTTCAGACTTCTCTCCGCCGGCCTCCCCTCTCAGCGCCTTGTACCCGTCGCTCTGCCCGGACGGTGATGCCTTCAGGGACCTGGAGGCCGTTCCTGCGTGGGACTGGAGCATGGCCTGGCTGGAGGAGATGGACGCCCAGTACAGAGCCCACTATCCCAGCAGAAGCACCAGACCCTCGAACACATAGAAGCTCAGATCCCACTGCTGCGTTTCTCCAGACTGAGTTTGAAAACGTCGGCGTTTCCAATTGTTTCTAACAGTTTTCCTTCTTTACCTCAGGGCACTTCAGCTACTGTAAATCTATGAAACGACTTTCAGAGCCACAGAAGTTTTCTACTTGAATCATTTTACTGAAAGATGCAAGCAGAGATATCTGCAGCAGGATCCAGAGACACGGACACTCTGACAGAAAACACGTTTCCTGTTTTTGTTGCAGGATTTTATTCAGAACTTGCTTTAAACCAATTTAAAGCTTTTTGGTTTTATTTGTTCTCTATGCCAGCAAAGGTCACTGAATTTATCTGAACTATGATCCAAATCCTCCAGGTTCCTACTCTCTTCAGCGCCTCTCTGTGTCCAACGTTCTGCTCCAGGTTAGTCTGTTCACTGCTCTCCCTGCAGGCCGTGTTTCCATCCAGAAGACGGGGCCTCCAGTGTGGCCAACTCCCCAGCAAGAAAAGTCTGTATTGGCTGTCCTAAAAGGCACTAGATGATGTCATAGCCTAATTCGCATGCTTCGTGCCATCCAGCTGCAGGAGATTCTGAATCCCTCCAACGTTTTTTTCCTTTGGCTGTTAAAGCAGCACAGAGAGTTTGGATATCTGGGAGGAAGAAAGGTGGAGATTTGAACAGTTTTATTAAGAATTGTACAGAAACAAGGAAAGAAAATACACATAATTCAGATATGTAGTTCCACACTGCATAACAAACGGTGAAATTATTGCAGCATTAGCTGTTTGCCTTCCAGCAATACAAAGTAAAAAATAAAAACATGAAGAAGAAGAAGAAAGAAGCAGTGCAAAGACACACGGAGACTGGATGTAGATCAAAAATTCAGCTATTTCGTGCGTCGGTTAAAATTTATGATCATGATTTAATTTTACAATTTAGGGCGAGATTAGCAGTTTTTTTCAGCACGCACAAGTTTAATCTCTACTACTACAGGCCCAACCGTTAAGAAAGAGGCTTAATGCTACGTTCACACCGGACGCAGCAAGCGCGACAGAAGCAGCGAGTTTACATGCAAAGTCAATGGTTGACGCGCGTCAAAGGTGAAGCAAAAGGTCCCGCGGCGCGTTTTGAGCAGCAGGCGCAGCGTGTCTGAGCAGCTGAAGCAGCGCGTCGGGCGCGTTTAAGCATCTGATGCGCGTGACGTGCCGCAAACGCGCTGCTGCTAGAGATGGAAATATTTAACTTTTGCTGCTCGACGCGCCGCGTCAACCAATCAGAAGAGCTGATCTGGGAGCTGGCAGGGAGAGAGACACAGCGCTGATGATCAGAGCACTATGATCACTCCTCTGAAACAGTTTATTGACGCATAATTTAACTTAAAATGCAGAAATCTGCCTGCAGAATATGTTCGCTTTTATTATTCTGGTGCCTGCAGATCGGATTATTTAGATGAAAAACACCTACCAGCTGCAGCGGTGAACCGCGAGCAGGCGACCCGGCCACAGGCTGCTGCTGAAGGGATTCCTACTGTCGGCGCACCGCCGGTATGTGGGGGTCTTAGCGGCTCCTGCTTCAGCCGCGCGTCAGAACTAACTGGTACAAGCAGCAAAAATGAAGCAGCAGGCGCGATTTTGCTGCATCCGGTGTGAACGTAGCATAAGATCCACTAGATCAGGAGGACAGAGTTTGGTGCTTTTATGTTGCAAAAGTCACTAGATTTGGTGCTAGGTGCTTTTTGGAAATAAAGGTGCTAAAAGGGTCAAAAATGGTTTTAGACGAACGTCCTAAGTTGGCAACACTGGTGGCCTCAGAGCTAGGCTAAAGTTAGCATGTTTGCTCAGTGTTTTGATAGGACTCATTCATCACTGGGGTTGTAGCATATTTCAGTGCAGTCCAGTTAGTGGTGAAAGTGTGAAGGAAGGTCTGATTCTCAGAGACTCGGGGTTAAGATGCAGCCGACAGTGTGAATCACAGGGAGCCTCTGAATGCAGCGTTTCTCTCCTAGCCTCCACCTGTCAGACGGTTTAGATTCAGAGCAGAATATCCGGATCCACTCAGCTTAATAAAGTCTGAGAACTAGAGGACGGCTTTATAGGCCATGCTAAATGTAACGAGCTACGACTTTAACAGGACTGGATGCATGAAATGCGCTGCAGGTGAGATGTTCACGGACCGTAGGTTCGTCAGACATTCCTGATTTCTACAAAACAATCTGGATCCCAGGAGTCAATCAGGACATTTGACTGATAAATACATTCTTTAAGCTTATATTAAATTGTTTTTTTCTAAAGTTCATTTTTTTCTTTTTTTAGAGATATGAATATTTAAATCATAATGGATAATTTAACATGGAATTTAAAATCTTTTCTGTATTTAGAATTAGAGAATTGTGTAGCTTATTTAATGCAAATGTTTTACTAACAGTGGCAGACTTTTTATAATTGTTATATTTTCTATACTTGGCATTAAGATGTGGTTTTATGATATGAATAAAAAAACAAACAATTTTATTTTGAACTGAAGTTTCTTCATTTAATTAATCCCAGTCAAAATGGGTGAGTTCAATATCAGAGGAGTTTTTTTGAAGGGAGTAAAGTGAAGGAAGCTGTCGGTGGTTTGGCCCCTGCAGCTTTCCACACTAATGCAGATTTGCTCTGGGCTCCTGACCGTCCTGTTCCTGCTATCCTTTTAACAGCGGCTGCGTCCTCTGAAGGCCAGATTCCTCCGCTGATGACATCATAGAGCAGCTCCGAGGTCTGGTCAGATTGGAAGACTCCTCGTTATGCGGCCGACAAATTCAGCCTTCTATTCGCCCATTTTGAAGGACAGGTCCGCTGTATCCTCCGTAGCCTTGGATATCCAATGATTCATTGCGAGTCCAAGCAAGCCAGCTGTTCCGTGCTCAGAAGAAAAAGGAAAATGGCGCCAAATAGTGGTGAATATTGGAAGTGCAGTTTAATATAGTCTAGGGTGACCAAACGTCCGTATTTCCCAGGACATGTTCGTATTTCACGTCCTGTCCTGGGCGTCCCGGGTTTTTTTTAGAAAGTGAGGAAATGTCCTGTTTTTTTAAATTACCTTCATTGGACCATTAAATTTACAGATGCTAGGGCACTGTGCACGACGCTGCGTGTGACGTTACCCCTGAGCCGCGCCAGTGCGGGCAGCCTTGTTCTTAATCAGAATATAGATAGCGTGGCTGTCAGTACGCCAATAAAAACATGCAAAGGCACAAATGTATGTTTACCAACGATTTACAAAAGAGTTTCCCCGCTTTCAGACCGGATCGAGACAAATGGGAGGCCTTGTGCACAGTGTGCAAAGCAGGCACATATGTCTCGGTGTCCAATGGAGGTGCAAGGGATCTGAAAAGCCACCTGGACTCCGAAAGTCAAGATATTCTATTGATATGTTTTTTCGTTTTTGGTACATTTTGAGTTACTTTTGCTACAAAAGAGGTATTTTTTGTTAATTAGCTCATTTGTTTATTTTTTCCAATAACCTACAGAACAGACATTATTTTGTTCATTGCTGAGGCTGAGTATCATCATATTGGGAGTTGAGAGTTATTGTTAACTTTTATTGTTAAGTGAGGGATGTTTAGATGAGACATTATTTCTTTCATTGTGCTATTCATTCATTACAGGAATTGTTAAGCATTTTTAATAAATACATTTTGAATAAAATTATCATTTGTTATTGGAGTTATTGCTGTTGACTTTTACTGAAAAGCATTTTTAATAAATCAACTGTTAATATCATGTTATTGTAGGATTACCTAGGCCTATGGATGGGAACAGAGATCCCCCGCCGCCGCCCCCCCGCTCCAAAATATGGTCACCCTAATATAGTCTGTGAATAGTTCTGTCTAAAATGAATGAAAAAAGTTGTTTTAATGGTTATTGAGTCAGATATGTGGCGGTAATGTTTGGTTAATTGAAAGGTTTTATCTGTCCAGTGTTAATTTCGTCCGTTTTTTATTTTTATTTTGTCTTAGTCACAATGATAAAAACAAATTTTACTACTACAGGCCCACCTGTTCCTACTACTATTCAATTTCAATTCAATTCAGTTTATTTATATAGCGCCAAATTCACAACACATGTCATCTCAAGGCACTTTACAGTTCAACCAGATCATACAGTCAAATTGATACAAAGTTTTCTATCTAAGGAAAACCAGTTGATTGCATTGACTCATTGACTCAAATACAATCCCCCACACTAAGCATGCTTGTAGCGACAGTGGAGAGGAAAAACTCCCTTTTAACAGGAAGAAACTTCCAGCAGAACCAGGCTCAGTGTGAGCGGCCATCTGCCGAGGCCGACTGGGGTTCAAGGAGACAGAAGCAGAGATACAAAAAGCAGCTGTAAAAGGCGGCCCCGTCCAGGAAACACACAGCCAGGCAGACGAGCTCCAAGGCAGCTCCCATGCCAGAGGACGAAGAGAGCACATCCACTCAGTCACGGTCAGAGAAACAGGACCACACTGGAAAACAGGCCGATCTCCAACATCTATAAACAAGGGTGTTGATAGAAGCAGCACAGCTGATGTTTCTTTCCAGGATGACGTCACAGCCAAACAGGAACAGACGAGGCAAAGCTACTCTGAGGAAAAGCAGAGAGAGCAGAAGGTTAGAGATTGAACTAACAGATTCTGCAGAATAGGAGAAGAGAGAGAGAATGAAGCAGAATGATGAAAAAGGGGTCCCTATGTCCTCCAAAAGTCTAAGCCTATAGCAGCAGAACTATAGAGATAGCTCAGGATAACCTGAGCCACCCTAACTATAAGCTTTATCAAAAATGAAAGTTTTAAGCCTAGCCTTAAAAGTAGACAGGGTGTCTGCCTCACGGACTAAAACTGGTAGTTGGTTCAACAGGAGAGGAGCCTGATAACTAAAAGATCTGCCTCCCATTCTACTTTTAGAAATTCTAGGAACCACTAGTAAACCTGCAGATTGAGAGCGAAGTGCTCTGTTAGGAACATAAGGAACAATCAGATCTCTGATATCAGATGGAGCTTGGCCATTTAAGGCTTTATATGTGAGAAGGAGGATTTTAAATTCTATTCTGGATTTAACAGGAAGCCAATGAAGAGAAGCCAGGATAGGAGAGATATGATCTCTGTTTTTAATTTTCATTAGAACTCTGGCTGCAGCATCTTGGATCAGCTGAAGGCTTTTAACTACAGTTTGTGGACTTCCTGATAGTAAAGAATTACAATAGTCCAGCCTTGAAGTAAGAAATGCATGGACTAGTTTCTCAGCATCACCCCTGGACAGGAGATTTCTAATTTTTGTAATGTTCCTCAGATGAAAGAAGGAAATTCTAGAAACCTCTTTGATATGGGATTTAAATGACAGGTCCTGATCAAAAATAACACCAAGATTTTTTACTTTATTATCTGAAATCAGTTTAATCCCATCCAGATGAAGTGACTGACTAATCAGCTTCTTTTTCAGAGACTCTGGTCCAAGGACTATAACTTCTGTTTTGTCTGCATTCAGAAGCAGAAAGTTAAGAGTCATCCAGGTTTTTATGTCTTCAAGACATGCCTGTAATCTATGTAATGGGTTAGCTTCATCTGGATTTATAGACAGATATAGCTGGGTATCATCAGCATAACAGTGGAAATTAATCCCATGCTGTCTAATAATTCTACCAATTGGGAGCATGTATAAAGTAAAGAGAATTGGTCTTAGCACTGATCCCTGTGGTACTCCACAGGTAACCTTTGAGCGTGTTGAAGATCTATCATTAACATGAACAAACTGAATTCGATCAGATAGATAAGATTTAAACCAGTCTAGTGCTGTTCCTT